TGATGCAACTTGTGTTTTTTACATCAGCATCATGTAGAGAAATGAGTGGACTGGCGTATGATACAACCAACAGAAGATTTTGGCAGTTGCTCTTGAAGCCACCGTCTTGACACAAGCCACAGACTCGGCCCCCAACCACAGAAGCGGGTGAAGTGAGGTTATCGCGAGGAAAGAAAGGAACAGGGCGCCAGCCCGGACGCCCCCCGATTAATATTGCAGTCCATTGACTCAATTCCAAACCAACCCTGGAATGTTTCGTTGCCCACAGCAATTATCCTACGTTCCATGCCTCTGCAACAGGTAAAAACGGTGCAAGTTTTGTTGTCGTGTCTCAGATATTTTCCTCCAAATTAGGTCAAGCCTTGACGGTCAACTTCGGCTACAAGGTTTCCAGAGGTGCACCCCACGTGGTGGGGGCCGGTGATCGACACAGATCATTGAATAATGGGTCGACCCCGGATTTTTGAACAGACGCATGCGGACTTGGGCTGATTCTCTGTTTACAAGATTGCGGCGATGGAACGTTTGGTGGTCTGAGGCATGTTATCGGTTGAGTCGGGATCTTGTCAACAGAGCGGGCCGAGATGAAGAGGAATTGCCGAGCCCAGGCGGCGCAGGTCGGAGTAAACCGAGTCTGTTTCGGCAAGAAGTACCGCCCAGATTCAGATTGAGGTGTTGGACAAGGCTTTAAAATCGAGGCTATCAAATCTTCACGTGTTTAATATCCCATGCGTAAGGTATTTCTTCGCACCGGTGATAGTGTTTTCCAGCTCCGAGAGCATTACATAGCGAAATGTGGAGCTTGAAATTCACCAACCTGCCGGGCTGCCAGTTGAGAAAGTTTTCGTGGCCAAATTTTCGCTTTTCCGTGATGAAGTAAAGTCGAGCAGGAGAGGTGGCATCAAGACCGCCTGATGAAGAACATCGTGGATGCGTGATGCAGAGGCCGGACGGAGATGCCCCGCACTTTGCCAGCGGAACCCCACTTCAACGGAAACACCGTTGCAGATCCCGTCACCGGGTGCCCAAAACGCGGCCCGAAGTGCTTCTCCCTAAGTTTTTCCTGAGAATTGGTATCGAAAATTCATACTTCCTTGACAGAATAACAACATCTGAGAGTTTGATTCATGTCATTGCAATGAAGCTCAGCATCTGAGGGAGGCTTCCTGTAAGCCAAATGATGAGTCAATGACATCATCCAACACCAACGCCGTGATGTCACTCAACAATCTGATGCCGCGTTCATCGAGGAATGCTTGTGAAAGTGCGCCTGGATTTAAATACCTCGCAATGGCCATGCAAAGCCATGTGATTGTCGGTTTGTAAAAATCTTATTCAATCGACATCTCGCACTACGCACCATGCACGGACCGAAATCTACAACGATCATTCACGAGAAGGAAGGTACGGACGGCTACGGCCCCGCCTTCGCGACTGCCGTTCCCAATTGCCCAGCCACATACCGCCGGCCCCCGGCGGTCAACGCGGGCAGAACAATCGAGGCGGCTGGTGTGGCGCATGCCAACTACGCGCCGTCGGTTGGAAAGCCGCGAGGAAGCGAGGACTACTCCGAGAACTTGAGTGACTATGTAAGGCTTCGAAATCAGCTGTAGGATTGAGCTAACTCGTATCAGACTGTTCTGCAACAACATGTCCTCTTCTGGGATCGCGACAATGACGGTGTCATCACCCCCATCGACGTCTGGGTCGGCTTCCGCGATCTGGGCTTCAACATACCGACCTGCCTCCTAGCGTGTACCGTGATCCCGTTCGCGTTTTCGTACGGCACCGTGATGCAGCACTCATACCTGCCCGACCCGTTCTTCCGGTTGTATGTTGACGGCATGCACAAGGCGAAGGTAGGACTTCCTCTCTGCCGCAAAGAGGGTATGTCTGACTTGGACACAGCATGGCTCCGACTCGGGCGTCTATGATAGCGAAGGTCGCTTCGTCCCCCAAAGATTCGAAGACATTTTCGCAAACTGCAGTGCGAGGAAAGATAACACCTTGACCTTCAGAGAGGTCTTTGACTTGATGAGCAGGAATCGCTGTGCCGTTGATCCGTTTGGGGTAAGCCACCATCCCAAGATGAACATCGGCCAAAGCTTGGCGACTGACTCTGTGACTAGTGGCTCGCTTCCTTCTTCGAATGGGTCACGACATGGATGCTGCTGGCCGACGAGGGAAAAGTTCACAAGGAAGATCTCAGGCGAGTTTACGATGTAAGTCCCGCACTGAGGTGTGTGATGGCCAGTCGCTGATCGTTTTGCTCTCCAGGGCTCGTTGTTCTGGGATATTCGGGAGAAGAGGCGCTCTGGCGAAGGTTGGAAACAGGGATGGGGACTCGGTGGCGATGGCTTCATCGGCTATCGGAAGCGAATTGGTATTGATCTGTAAGCTTTGCCAGGCCGCCAGAGCCTCCTTGACGGACAAAAGTCTATTGGACCAACGTGCGGCGTCACTCGAATCACGCCGTTTGATTTCCATGCCACTCAATTCTGATTCCATGCCAACCGTCGACGCCCAAAAACTGATACTTCTACTCTCACAAACCCAGTACCCAGACTCCGAAACTCCAAGCCCCCCCATTCGTCACCTCACCTCTTCTCCGCCCACTCCCCCTTCTTGTAAACGCCGCCAGTCTTCAAACACTTCGTACCCTCTCCCTCCGCCGCAGCCCGAGCCCGCTGCGCCTGCTGCTCATTATTACTTGGCCGTCCACTGACCAAGTTCATCTCCACGTCTGCCCGCTCCAGCTGCCTCAAAACCTGTGCGCGAATATTGATGTGGAAGAGCACCTTTTTCTTGTGCTGCACAGCCCACACAAACATCACGATCGCGCCCACGAAGCCCACCGCGCTGCAGGCCATCCACGCCCACCACCCCGCGCCCATCTCCGGCTCCCCGCCCCGGCCGCCGTCCGCGACGACCACGATGATGGACGCGAGGAAGCTGACCATCAGGGCGATGCCGACGAGCAGGATCGTGCGGTAGGTGGACTTCTTCGCCACGAGCCGGCCGTTACCCGTCTCGTCACCGAAGGCTCTAACCCGGTGCAGACCGAGGACGCGGTCAAGCTTGTCCCAGAAGGTGGTCTTCTTCTTCTCCTTTTTGGCCGGTGCAGTGTTGGTGGCGTCGTTAGCCTTCGGGGCTGGCCTGGTCCGAGTGTCGACGACTTGCAGGTGGTGAGGGGACTGGATGTTGACGGTCTTGGCGGGGGGGACGTTACTGCTGGGGCCCGCCTCCGGGTCCGTGTTCTTAACGCGGATGGAGGGGATATTGGGGTCCGTTGAGACGATGTTGTCAGTTGCAACGGCTGGTTCCGGGAGGGGCCAGTCTTCGGCAGTGAGTTGAAAGGGAGAGTTGTTCGCGTAGGAGGTGCGGTTGCGGCGGGGGATGTTGAGGGGTTCGCAGGGTGGGAAGGGGTTGGGCTTGGGCCGGCCGTTCTCGAGCTTCATCATTCGCTCTGCGAGTTTGTTCATGCCCGCGTTGACTTTGGTGGGAGTTGGACGGACCTCAGAGCCGCTGGCCTTGTTCGGGTCGGTGGTCTTTGGAGCGGTGGGCGCGTCGTCGGTCTTGACTCCCAAATCCTTGGCGGCCTCGACTGGGGCATCTTGAGGGTTGACGGCCATGTCGAGGGCGGCCTTTGGCTTCCTGGGGGTTGTTAGTTGCGTCGTTCGAAAAATTAGAGAAGATTGAATTTGCTGGGAGAAGGGGGCACTGATGGTATTGATGGAGCAACTTACGGGGACTCTTGGCTGTCGGCCATTTTGTAGGCTTGGTCTCCTTTGATCGGCCTGCTGCGAACAATGCTTTGTGAGCTTCCCTGGGAGACAGTCCGCGACGGGGTCAAAGGGGCGTCACACCAGCGTATCTGTTGAGACAATGCGAGGGAGTGGGAACAATGCCTCGATGGAAGGTTTTCGAAGTTCCTTCAAAGCTGCGATGTTCTTTGATGTGTGGCAACGAGAGTCAAAAAAAGCTCTCTGTGAGATTTCGAGGTTTGAAGTTGGAAAGAGGGAAGAGAGGAGAATATTCGAAATTGTTTTTTGGAGGACAGGGCGAGAGGTGTCACATGACGCCCCAGCCGCCATGGGAAGACCTCGCTCTCAAGTGGTGGTGCGGCTGTGCCATTATGGTCGTTGATATCGGAACGCGGCTTGATGCCATCGTGGTGGTGTTGCAGCGGAGAGCTGGAGCTGTGAGTGAACTTAGGAAGTCCAACTAAGGTGGGGCTCACCAAAAGGTGTGGCCTAAAGGGATGGAAACAGTCAGTCAAGATGGCTTTGTTGACTGGAAAGAGTCCAGTTGGAACATTGCAACACATTAAAGGAGATGACAGAATAGCTGAATGAAAGGAGCTTCAATGTTGGTTACACCCAATTGTCAAGTCATGCCCTTTGTAGAGAACCTCTCGATGGCAACCAACGTATCATTCCAGAACTTGACAGCTTCTTTTCCATTTCATTTCTTGAAGGTGATGGGAGAGATGGCGAGACTGACGAAACTTTTGTTCATGACCAGAAGCCCAGTAAGACTGGTAACAATTAGCAGGCTGGCCGGGACCACCATTCGCGAATCTGCCGCCTATGCATGCTGCTTCTGCAGTCTATCCTCCAGGATACAGTGATAATGTCTCCTCTTCAACGTGTCGAGAGAGAAAACTTTTCCTCTAGACTACCTAACTCTACCTCGGCCGTTTCAATCCTGAAAGACAGGCCAACCTTCGAGATAAAAGGCAATCACATCTTCAGCCTTGCTCAATATCATATTCGACCCAAACCAAGGCACTTCGCACACCTCTAACCCCGACATGATTTGATCATACATTATTTGAGATACTAAATCAACGTCCGTGACAGAGTCCTCGACCATCAGTGGATATCCGCCTCCACTCAGCCCTCGCGCGCCCCTCAACAGACCCCACGTCTCGCTGCGAGAACCCGCTCGAGCGGGGACCAGCCCACTCAAGCGCACAACTTTCACGATCGTCAAACACAGGCAAGATGGCCGAGCGGTCTAAGGCGCTAGCTTCAGGTGCTAGTCTAGAAATAGGCAAGGGTTCGAATCCCTTTCTTGTCAATGTCAACATATGAGGCGTGATGCCTTTACTTTTTGTCGGTTGTTGGACCTTGTATTCTCTGGTCTCAGCAGCAGTACTTCCACCGTTCATTCGGAAGCAACATCACTCTGGTGCTTGTTCTCGCCGGTCTTCAGCAATTATTTTGGCGACGTTGGGGTAAACAAGTTAGGGGCTGTGAACTTCCTGACCGACGTGATTCTATGATGAAAGGTTTTCCCCAGGTTTAAATCAAACTCGGATTGCATGTCTGACAGTATCCTCACAACATATGATATTACCATCGAATACCTTATTGAGATACATTCACACTATCCTTTGCGCAACCTAGGATTTAATTTGAGCTTCGATTGATATCCGCTGTTACAACAAGAACTCGTCCAAACGTCTCTTCCCGTCTCCAAGGCCCGTAAACACTTTTTATGTCGATGCCTCGCCAGTCTATGGACCCACCGTGACATCGCAAGCCTCCTCCTCAGGTTCCGTCTTGACCCTCTTTGCCTCTCTCGATATGTCGTCTGCCACCCGCTTCCTCTCGGAGAGGCTCGGACACGGCTCCCATGTGAGTGAATCGGGCGATATCGCGCAGAGCACCCCAGTAAATGACCAAGTGTAGCCCACCGCCGCCATCTTCGCAACCACAGCCGGGTGGGAATCCTTGATAGCGTCGCACAGCAACATCTCAAGAACGGGATTCTCCTTCAAGGGGTCGAGGTCGATGCATACTTTGCTCACCCACATGCGAGCAACAAATTCCTCTGCGTACTCAAACTTTCCCGGGTCGGCGTTTGCGATGCATCTGACCTGAGCGGCTATCATGGCCCGGGTCGGATTGAACCACTTACAGATGACTTTGTACAGTTCATTGGGACAGCCGCCCGGCACCTCGTCAACCACGTAACCCTCATAATCTGCGCCGTAAAACTCTATCAAAGCGTTGAGTTCGTCGTGAGCGCCCAGCCCGAATAGAATGATATCGGGAATGGACTGAATGATAATGTTGTACGCCTGCGCCCGAGCTTTCTCCCACAGGAGACAATACGATGGGTTTTCAGGTGGTCCGCCTTTTGGCCAGGTTACGGTTTCCCATTGAAAGGGAGTGAGATTGCTTTTAATAGCTTTCTGCCATGCCGGGAAATTTCTTCGGTCTGCCAAAGTTGGGATGTCGTTGGACGTGGCGACAATGCTGAGATCCGAGGAAGGGCGTTGTTTGGAGCTTCTTCTAGATGAAAAGAATTTGTAGAATAGGAATAGCTGTGGAGTGCCCACGATTTATCTTGAGAGGGCTGATGAAGGCCTAAGGGGTTAGAAGAGACCGGAAAAGTTTAGTGGCGGCGCGCGTAGCGAATAGCATCTCTGGCTCCAAGCCTCTACGTTGCTAACCATACAACCAAGCAGACGTTGAAGATAGGTAGAAAAGGGGCGCGCTAAACCCCTATGTCTCGGTCGCTGAGGAAATGGCGGGCTGGCTGGCTGAGGAACGGGTGGCAAGTGAGAAAAACTTCTGCGTGGGTCCCTCAGCGCAGTCTTGATTCCTCTAGGCGGCATCATCACATTGAAAAACAGCGCAACATCCAAAAGAAACGACTGTATTATTCCGATTACTTTTTAGTATGCGCGCAACGAGACAGACGTCAAGTCTGGTCGCCGTTCTCGACCTTAGTCACTGGCCTCTCCCTTCCTTGTCTTCCTTATCTGCTATCCTTGTCTTCCTTCCTCATCGTCCCTCCTCGTCTTCCTTCCTGAACCCCATCAGTCATCAGATACATCAACTCGTTTTCGGAACTCGTAAACCGCACTGGAGCGCCCTGGATATTGGTGCGGTATACTTGACAATACGCAAGAAGCGACGATGACCAGAGATTCCAGTCACGACGATCGCGAAGGGGAGGCAAGGGCGGGGTTCCTCCAGACATATTGATGGTACTGCAAGCGTTGTTTCTGTAGCTGAGACTGTGAAGCAAAACCGAAAGCAGAATGTGTTGATGTTGAAAATCTGTGGAAGAGACGAGATTGATGAGGCATGTCGTGGCAAGATGGCGAGAGGGAAGATGGTCGACCAGGTATCTAGTGAAGGCTGCCCAGAGAGATGTTCTTTCCTCCATGAGCATCGAGTTGGTGACCAACTGCCAGTGCAGGTGCAGTAGTTGTAACGGCAGCAACTCACATGGGCAAGTCAACGACCACTGCTCCAAAACCGGCTACAATGTATCACGCCTGCCTCTATTTGAAGGCCAACAGCGTGTAGGTTTCCCAAACGGACGCGGTTGACGTGGATTCCAGTCTTGTCTTGGCCGTCGCTCCTGTCGTCGTCGTCTCCGTCGTCCTTGTCTACGTCGTCCTTTTCATCGTCGTCCTTGTCGTCCATGTCCTTCCTCATCCTCGTCACTGCCGCCTCATCCACTTGAATCGGGAAGTGCTCGAAACCACGAATCGAAGGATGGAAGTTGCAAACAACCAAGCCCAATGCAAGCACGTTTTGGCGAGAAATCCCTTCCACCCTTCCACAGCAATCGCCACATCTATGACGCTGACGTCTGACCTTTGCAATTGCGTCTCAGCAAATAACGATCCAAACATCCCCAGCAGCAAAGGCGCAATGGAAGCGATTCAGGGTCCAGCGGTACTTCAGGTACTGCCGCGCGCCACACAGCACGGTCCACCGCTGCAGATGCCCAATTAACCCCCCACAATCAACGACCTCGCTGCCGAGACAGGCAGGTGGAGACGCCCTCAGCCCTCTCAGTGTGTACCGCAGAGGTTCTCCCACCGGCCCGGCGGCCACTGGACATCTTGGACAGGCCACTCAACGCCCTGATTCAGGGGCAGCCGCGTGCTTGGGAGGGGTCATGCTTGTGCCGAACACTGATTCGACATCATTTTCTGCCTGGATCACCTCATCTGTTGGATTGTATGGGAGATGCCTTCAACATCTGCCGGTTGTGTTTCCCATGCCAAGCAGAGTCAGATAAGGCAAATATGTAACCCAGTTTGCCAGGCGGTGCATCCCTTAAACGAGCAATAATGGCAATCCTCGAAATAGCACCGACGCGAGATTTACGAGATGGCCAGCTTGTGGGGAAATTTCCTGTCCCAGCTCTCATCATGTGACACGACAACCCAGGACGCCCCTGTCCCAAACGTTTATCTCAACTGATGTTATTCCCCGACTTTCAGCATGGGTTCTATAAATATTGAAGTTCATGCAAACCGCCGATCTTGATAAGAAACCAAGGATATCCAGGTGAGTAAGCGCGTAGACTGCCAAACTGGGCCAATGGGCGGCCAAACTACAGCGCTTGGTACGACAAGGTTCGCAGGGGAAGCGACGAACGCAATTAATTGCTATTGAAGTTTGAAATCACGTCAGCTTCGCTTGCGCTTGGTGGTGTTACGCGCGCCTTTAACGCCGGATGATCTGACTTGGTTTGACCAACAAGGTAGGAAATCGCCGGTAAGTCAAGCAGATTGTTGAACCACGCTGCCAAGCAATGAAAGATATCTGTCTCAAATCAATCCAGACGGCGATCCCAACGAGAGGCTTGCGGCCGCTCTTTGCCCGGGGTTAGTCCATGATGACAAGCCCCGATACCAAGAGCCGAGCGTCCAATTGTTGTGCAGGCCTCGAACCCGTGACAATATTGCAGTGTGCAACTTTCCAGCCATGGAAATTTACGTTATCATGCTATTGCTGCAAGACGGCACACCAGACACTGGAAATGGAGTGTTGCGTGGGTCTTTGCAGTGTTCAGCTGTTACACCTGTGACCTCTCTGACCCGAGTTTTTACGGGTCCAGTACCGACCCGAGATTCCTCGCTTACCGACTTAGCCAACTCCACCTTCACCCATTGCATCAATCACATCCGATATGGTGTAGTGGCCAACATGATGCCCTCTCATCTTGTGAGAGGTTAGGCATAGCCCCGAGTTCGATTCTCGGTTTCGGAACTTGATCTTTTGCTTTTTCGTCCGTTTTGTCTCGTCACTAAACAACGAAGGACGGCAATCAACCACCAGTATTGTTGTGATCACTTCAACGGCGACGTGAGCAACATTTCCCGAGTATGAACAGTGTAGATAAAATATGTACCAAGAAGACTAAACCATTCCCAAACTTCCTTCACAACTTGACGTTCGGAACCTCAAAAGTCTGCACCATCTTGGACTCAAAGTAACTCCAGAACTTGGTCCCGCTCATCACCGTATCATCCGCCTTCACATACCGATCACCACTGCCCACCTGCGTCCTCCACCGCGTCACCTTCGCCCCATCCGTCGAGCCCTGCGTGAACTTGCTCAAGTCAAAGTTGAGATACTGCGCACTGCCCCAGTTGATCGCCACAATCACCAGCTTCGAGTTCGCCGCATCGTACGCCGCAACCACATTATCGCTCCCTCCATCCAGAATCTTCATCCCCTCGCGAATGTGCCGCGTAAACTGCGCAAACACAAAGTACTTCTGGTTCGCAGCCCCCAGCGTGCCCGCCTCGTTGTCGGCATCAATCACTCCCCAACCGCCGCCGTCCAGCACCTGCCAGTACACCCACCCCGTCGGCCGCAGCCACCGGAAGTCCAGCAGCATGTTGCTCACCAGCCGCTCGCCCGTCGCGTCGTTCTCGCCGTACTCGCTGTTCCACAGCCGCTGCCCCTTGCTCGCCGCCTGCGCGTACAGCTTGTCGCGCGCCCCGTTGCCGTACTGGTACCCGTGCACGTTGATCCGCGCCACCTTGTCGAGCGCGGAGCCCAGCCCGTTCCACGTGGCGACGGCCTGGTCATAGTACGACTCGTCCGACGCGGCGATGGTCATGGTGTTGAGCCCGCGGTTGTCGAGCTCCGTGCGGAGGTAGTTGATGATGCTCGCCTGCGTGGCGACATCGATGTGGCAGCCCTCCTGCGTGCCGTCCGCCTTCCACCAGTTCGCCGTCGGCTCGTTGAACGGCTCGACGCTCTCGAACGTGATGCCCCAATTATCCTTGGCGTACTTGGCCACGACGGCCATGT